TGCTATGTGCTGGGCATTATTGGCCTTGCTGGACTAGGACACACTTGTACACACTGTACACACTTGCTGTACAGACCCAGTATTCATTGACAATGTGTCTTGGAACCATACCCCTTCTCTAGCTTTCCTGTGCATGTGTAGGTAGTGCTCATTCACTCACGATCCACCCATTCTGCTCATGCAACAACACATTTGTGTGTATGGACCACACTCCAGGCACTGTATTGGCATCAAGTTTCCCTTTAAGGAGCTGGGAGTCCAGTCCAAGAGGTCAAGTTGCCTTCTGTCCCAGTGAAGTGAGTTATATTGGACAGTGGCAGAGGCATGCCCAGGTGGTGAGCAGAGGGCTTTGGTAACCACGAGGGAAGAAAGGAATATACTCCCTATGTGGCCATCACTCCCTGGGCCAATATAAACCCCAGTTCTTCCCTCTCCAATTAGCCCCACATGCTCCTGCATCACCTTTCTGACACACAGCTCTAAGCATCTTGTGCCCACCTGCCTTGCAAGACTCCACACGGCCTGCTACTTTCTCTCTCAGGTTCCCTCCTCCTGAGCACACTATGCAAGTCCAGACCTTAGCCTCATAGCTCCCTGATGCCAACCCTCTACCTCTAAGGGGTGGAGAGGAAGGAAGGTACACCTGGCCACCAGACAGGCTGGTGGGACACCCATACCAAAGACTTCCCAGGGGATTCTTCACACTCAATCCATCTGAAAAGTGCTAGTAATTATAATTTGGTTCTAGTGATCTATAATAGCCTCCAAATTGATATAATGATGCAATCTACCATGAACTGCAAAATCATTGCTGCAAAGAGCTCAGTTCCCAATGCAGGGCAGGCATTCAGATAGAGGGAAGAAGGCATGAACTAAGTCCCTTTAGATCCCTGCTTCATTTCTGTCCAGATCGTATTAAAAGTGAGTTTAGTAACTATAAGAAGAATCAGTTGTCTTTCAAAAGCTAGAGAATTTTATTCAGGAGTAAACATTTAACTTCAGGGCAGAACCTAAAATGAGAAGTGGAGCTGAGTCGGTGAATGCCGGGGGTTTCAGGAAGGGAGAAGATCATTTCCCAAGGGTGTGCCACCGACTTCTGGCCAGTCAGTGCTTGGGGAGACCCCGAGGGGACCTCCACACTACACTCGAGGGGGCAGTGAGTTATTAGTCTCCAGGCAAGGAGCTTGACCCTGGAGACAGGACCAGTCCTGTCTCTATGGGACCGGAACAACACACAACCAAACACGGTCCCTATGGATAAGGATGATGTGAGCACAACTCACTGCCTCACCAGATCCAGCCCTGCCAGGCAGCAGGACAGGGGAGTTGGGGACAGGACATGAGTTTACTTCCATTTCCTTCAAAATTTAAGAATTATTCAATTATTAAATGATTTAAGAGTGTTAAAAGTTAAAATAACTCAGAATTTAAAATCTGTAATGAGCCTTATTGAAGCCCACACACCTTGGAAGGTCCGCCTTGTTCATCTCTTATCTTCTGAATGGTGACACCTTTCATACACACTGGAAACAGACAATTAGGAAAATCTGCTGTGTTCAGGCCCAGATATGGAAGGGACAAGCGGAGGAGGGGAGCAGAAAGTGGCTGCCAAACCACCGTGGCCCACCCCTCGTGGTTGTGTCCTTGATGCTGCTGACAAAAGGCAGCCAGGGCATCCTTGTCATCCCCTGGTAAGAGGCAACGTACAAGCTCCCAGCCTTGCTGGGCACACGGAGAGCCCATCAAATCTCCATGAGGTTTGCAAGCAGCCTCGTGCATTCATCACCCCGAGCTGTCAGGCTGCAAAGAGTGTGAACAGGAGTCTCTTCAGATCGCTTGTCAGCGCCTGGTGTCAAGGCAATGTCCGCACTCCAGCCAGACAAAACTGTGGCATCTGGGACACTCTGGAGGCTGCCTCCAGCCCTCTCCTCTCCCTCCCCGCTTCGTTTCCCAGGCTCCCAGGCTCCTAGCCGGGGCTCAGCTGGAATAACAACATCGTTCCCTGTTTGGTTGGTGCTTCCTCTGCTAATTCACTTGGCTTGCGCTGACGCACGGAGTGCCCTGGGGTGCATAATCCCGCAGGATATGACCTATGAATGAGCACCATCACTCCAGGGCCCCGCAGAGAGGCAGAGCAGACCGCATCAGCCACTTTCAGACAGCCTTGGCAATGGGGAGGAAGCTCCCGATGCCCAGAACAATGCAGTCTACCTTGCTGCTGCCACCTTCCTAACAACCAGGGACTTAGAGCCCGACAAATGCTGGCTCTGCTGATCCTTGCAAAGCTGCTCTGGGGGAGCTGTTGACTCTCCTAAGCTTTGGTTGCATCTGCAAAGTGGAGCTAGACATGCACAACACACACGCATTGCTGCCTTATGACAAAATGTCCAAAATGCCCTCTTCTAGCTCTTTTGAAATGCATCTTTATGGATGTGTTTACCCTACAGTGCCCTGTAACAGCAGAACTTAACTCCTCCTGTATAATGGCAGCTTGTGCCCATTGTCAGTCTCTCCCATGCCCCCACTGCTAACTCTACCAGATCTATGGTTTTATCTTGTACCCCATAAATTTGCACAATTATTATATGTCCATTAAAAATAAAAGAGACAAGCACTTACCCTGGCAGCTAAGCAGGTAAGCCTAGTCCCACATTGGAGTAGCCAGTTTCAATTCCCAACTACAGCCCCCCTCCAGCTTTCTGCTAACAGGCATGTGGGAAGGCAGCAAGTGAGGGCTCAAATATTTGGGTCCCGACCATTCATGTAGGAGATCGGATTGAGTTTCCAACTCCCAGCTTTGGTCCTGACCCAAGCCTGGTTGGTGCAGGAATCTGTGGAGTGAACCTTTTGAACGGGAAATTCTTCTCTATCTATGTCTCTTTTAGTATCTCTACTTCCCAAATAAATAAATAAAAATAAAAATTAATACATAAATAAAAGGATAAAAGAAACACTTGCCTCAAAACTCATCAGTTGTACACATTAACTACATATAGCTTTCTAATATGTCAGAACAAATAAATAGAATTTTGAACCTGAAAAAGAAATTTAAAAAATAAATGTAAATGAATTGAACTGACCAGTATTTTTAAAAAATGCCTACCATTCAGAGTACAGCCTAGCTCAATGCCTAGACAGGTGCTCAAAAACATGTTTCCATTCTGTTTCCCTCTTCTTAGATGACAAAAGACCTCACTTTTGCCTCCAGAAGCCTGAGCAGCTCTAGTCCCTGGTTCTCCCACTTACAAAACTCAGGAATTGGCCAATATTATCCTAAACATACTTTCTAGTATCCATGGCCTTTGATTCTAAAGTCCAGGTGAGGCCAGAAGAAGGTCAGATACTAAAATAATCCTCATCGCTCCTTCTAAAGTCCTGGGCAGTTTGCCTTGTATTGAAAACCCCCAGAGGTCAGGTCTCACAGGTTGGCTCTGTTGGACTTGCTGTCTCCTGTAAATGGGATGGTTTTCCTCACTTATATTTTTTTTTAAAGATTTTATTTATTTACTTGACAGGCAGAGTTAGACAGTGAGAGAGAAAGAGAGGAAGGTCTTCCTTCCATTGGTTCACCCCCCAGATGGCCTACTGTGGAGCTGTGGAGCCTACTGAGGCCTTCCTCAGAGCCCAGGATGTCAGGGAAGAGGCTGTCTGTGCAAAGTGTCAGGAGAGTGAGCAGGCCCCAGATAAATGCCTTGCTCCTCCTGGCTGACTTACTGTTAATTTCTGCAGAATCTCAGGCAACTTGAAAGGATACCAACTGCTTCCCCAGAGGCTCTGAGGGCACAGCTGCACCTGCCTCTGGTGCATGACTGGCCACGTCCTCCAAGCCCTGGGTAGGGAACACAGCAAGGCTTGGGGGACCACTCTTTGTGGCTTTGTGGAATGAGCAAGTTGTTGATCCCTCCAAATGACCTGTTTCCTCTTCTGTAAACTTGGGGTTCTCAACCTGGTCATTTTGAGAATTAAAATAGGGAAGAGAAGGCAACAAGGCAGGCTGTTGGTCCCCTGGTTACCAATACCTCACTGCTCCACTATTGTGTAGCCAGTCCCAGCCACCAAATCAGCCTCATAAATATTTACACCTGGTGTGTGTTGCGATGCGCGATTAATTGCACCTGTGACGCACTAGGAGCACCTCAGAGGAAAGTTGTCATGTAAGGGCTGGCGGTGATTAGAGGCACAAACAAGCTGGCTCACGGAAGCAGCCTCCTTTGGATCCTTGCCCAAAATCTAAGGAAAAGGTCCCTCCAACAGCCCACTTTCCAAGGGTGAACACAGAGGCTATGCAAACACCTTGCTAGAAAATGGACAAAGATGTGTACAGATAGAAGAAATGCAAGTGGCCCAAAACTGTCTGAAAAAATAATAATCTTTCAGTCTCAGCAATCATCAAGAAAGAGAAATGGATAAAATAAGGAGTCAATTGCCAAGTGATCTTAAAGAATGAGTTCCATGGTGGGAGACACGGTGAGACAGTCACTGCAAATTCTATGGATAATGATAGAAATGAATATGAATTGGCACCAAAAAGCGACTAAAATTAGGCAACAAGGGGCCTACAAGGTCTATTCTATTTGGCCACTCTGTTGCACTTGATAAAGTCCCTTCATGGAAATATTCTGAGAGACTAAAAATACAAGCAACAGAATTTATAATTGTCAAAAATACCTCAATACTACCTCCAAAACATCACATAATCAGTCAATATCTAAAGATATAAAATGTATTTAGGATCTTATGCACTTAGGCAACATTTAATGTATATTTGTCTCAATGTTTGTGTACATCTGCATGATATGCCTATGTTTCTGAAAATCACCAAAATTGGATGTGTGATGTTGACTTCTATGTGTTTCTGCATGCCCTTCCCTATTTTCTTTCTAAAGATACCATAAACTGAAGTCTACAGCAATGCAAACAGAGAAATGGCATAGGCTACTGGTGAGTGCCCACTCCTCTGAGCAGCTGACACTCACTCTGGCTGTCTTTTCTTGTCCTAGGTCATCGCCTCACCTGCCTCACCTCAGTGGTATCCCAGGTGAGTCACTGAAGCTGTGGGAATACCTGCACAGATCTTCTGGGCTGTTCTCTACATTCGTTTCTGATTTTCCTCTAATGAAAATACTGACCTATTCAAAACGGCATCAGCTGCTCCCAACCGCACCTCAAGTTACTGCTGCGGCACCGTTGGTTTGTGACGTGCACAAGCTTTGGAAGCTGGAGAGTGGGAATCTTGGCTTTCTGGGTATTAGCTGTGCAACCTTGGAGGAAGCACAGATCTCTCTGAGCCTGGGTTCCTTTATCTGAGGAATGGACATAAGTGTCCTAAGTGCCAGTGTTGTGGCTACTAGTTAATGTTAGTTCAACTAAACTCTATATAATGAGATCCCACAAAATATTAAGGTGAGTGGTTCAGCAACTACGTTCTGTGCTTGTCTTGTATCTCAGAGCCAATTTCGTAGTACTAGGCAGTTAATAGGAGCCCAGCAAAGTTTGAATAAAAGTTATACTCTTCATTTTGGCAGGCAGAGAGAGTTCCAGAGAACATACCTAGAAAGCTGATTTCTGGACATAATGACTGAAATGTGACAGAAAAAATGAGAATAGTTCAGAAAAAGCATGCAAAGTAAGTGATCGAGTGGTACAGAGTGACACAGTCAGCAAATGAATCTGAGTTTATTATAGAACACGTTGGAGCACACAACCAGCTCTCAGCAGGTGCACAGCACTGAGCAGAATGGGGCAGATCACTCATAACCAGCTCTCAGCAGGTGCACAGCACTGAGCAATTTGGGGCAGATCCTGGGGTGTGAGTTTATGCAGGGCCTGAGCACCTAGCTAGTCTCTCACAGAAATGATTTTATGAAACTTCCCAGACAGATCTAACTATGGCTGTGCTGTCTCAAGAGGGGTGCATTCTAATTGTTCTCAAGTCTTTGAGCTCAGATATACCACCCCCTTCCATGAGCCTATCCCCTGGAGGGAGCTGTAGGAAACCATGCCTGGAATGAAGTTGCTTATCTGCTGTGGTGGCTGATGCCTTAGGAAAACACGTGGGTAACACAGCAGCCAGCTGTGCACCCCTCCCCCTTCTATCTTGCTTCCCACCGCAGTGAAGACAGAGAAATCTAATAGGTGGGGGTTCCACTTCCTGAACAACATTCTAGAAACACAAGCAGGAGAAAAAAATAAATCAAAACCCCCCAAGAAGCCAACTGAGATTAAACTGCCTGGGCCTGCCCATACCCACGTGCATCTATACCCTGCCAAAAATACTTAGCAGCAAATCACGACCGCCCCGCCTGTGCGTACTTATGAACCACGGCAAAGCCTGTTAAAATAGAACAGACCTGCCATAATCAAGGATGCGCATGGGGATTTGCATAAAAGGATGCACATCACAGGGTATTTATAACATTCCTAGATACGTCAAGTTGTCTGCGGTTTTTTTGCCATGGGATTAATTGAAAATATGATGGGGCATACATGGGGGGAAATACTCTGTAGCCACTGAAAATGATAATGTGAAGCACCTTCATCAGCCTGCATATGTTGATGGTGTGTTTTATGATTAAAAAAAGTGAGCAAGAAAACAGTGAATATATTGGGATCCTATACCGGGGGACTTCAAAACATTCATGGAAAAATGGAATTAATAGAGAATACACATTTTCCATAAACTTCTTGAAGTTTCCTTATATACAGAAACTATACATTTATATGTATATAGTGTGTGTGTGTGCCCATGCAAATGAGTCAGTGATTTCACTAAAGTCAAAGTTTTACAGTGGCTGTCTTGGTATTGTGGCACTGTAGTGATTTTTATTTTTTTCGTTAGGCATTGCTGTGCCTTATAATTTTTCAACAGTAGCATATACTCGTATTTTTCTATACTAAAAAAAAATCTACTAAAAAATAAATTCTTAAAAAAAGAAACACTCCAGGCCTGAAGATACATTCTGTATTCAAACTTGCACAATCTGTCAATGTCAATACCTTCTCACAGGCATATATGGAAACAGCAGTGCTGTGCTTTTCCATAAAATAAACTCACTCAGGAGTTCTCCTGCCACCAAATAGTGAAACTGGAGAAGGGAGCCCTATTTAGAAAGTGGGTCCTTCTGTCTTAAATCACCATAACAATAGAAACCCTGACAAAGATAGATGTTGACTGATTCTATTAAACAGGAAAAAATTTCCTTTTGTCAAAGAATATTTGATTTTTTTGTTGTTGTTTCCTAAGTAAAGCCATGTTGAAGGTTGATGATTTTTCTCACTTTGGAAAGAAAAATTAGTATTTTAAGAATAAAAGGAGAGGCGAGTACAGAATATGTGAGTATCCACTGTCCCCTGCTGGCCATTTATAGACATGTCAACATCGTATTAATTCAGCAGAAGCCAGGCTCAGATGAGTTCTCCCCAAGATGCTGGGAATATCGGTGACCACAAACAAATCGGAAAAAGAGAGTTGACTTGCTGGGACAAGGTGCTCATGCAGTTCTTGTAAACAAAGCCACAGTTTCAAATAACCCCAAGATCTGTAACCACAAAGACTGACAACTGTCCTCAAATTCAGTGTGTAACGAATCACAACTAAAAATACACAAAAAATACGGAAATTCACACATCATTTTTCATGATATGCATTTTCATGAACTTTTTAAAGATCTTCCATATATATGGATTTCAACTTTTTTGGCTCCATAATAAACTTGTCTTTAAATTCCATTCACCAGGAACTGTTTAAAGTAACCTCATATTCTGAAGCCTACACCAGGGTTTATACTTTGGTTGGTCTGTAGTAAGCCCAAGAAATCCTTAACTTTAACAAGATAAATTCAATTCAGGTAGTTCTAGGATTTTTTTTTTTTTTAAGAATCACTGTCTGATGCTAAATTAAGGGGAAGGGGGATGGGGAACTGTCAATTCTAGACTACAAACATTTCATGTGAATTTCTGAGAAGCACCCAAAAAATGGAATGAGAGGCAGCTGCCTCACCTATCACCAGTCACTCTTCCAACCCCTTCATTCACTCAACCAATCTGTGGTAAGCTGGTAATATGACAAAAATGACAACCAGCTCTGGGCACAGGGTTTTTAAAAAAGAAAAGTGGAAGAGGACATGGAAATGGAAAGGTGCTAGGGACCAGGGAAGGACTGGCCAGGCTGCAGTTTCAATGCTGTGCTTTGCAGGAGAGAGAGGAAGAGAATGTGTGAGGACTAATCAGTGAGAACAGTAAGCCTGTTCTCCAAGTCTCCAATACACCGTTCCTGTGCAGCAATTCAGTGAGTTTTGACTATTTGTGACTTGAAGCCATCAGCTCATAATCTTCCTATCAGGGGACTGATGTCCAGCAAATCTTTCTCTCTGGGTGGGTAGCTGGATAGACAGACATAGAAAGATAGAATAGAGATGGGCGCTGGGTTCTAGTCCCGGCTGCTCTTCTTCTAGTCCAGCTCTCTGATGTGGCCCGGGAAGGCAGTGGAGGATGGCCCAAGTGCTTGGGTGCCTGCACCTGCGTGGGAGACCAGGAGAAGCACCCTGGCTTCAGATCGGCACAGCACCGGCCGTAGCAGCCATTTGGGGGGTGAACCAATGGAAGGAAGACCTTTCCCTCTCTCTCTCTCTCTCTCTCTCTCTCTCACTGTCTAACTCTGCCAGTCAAATAAAAAAAAAAGAAAGAAAGAAAGATAATTGAATACACACACACATGGTCTTCATGCAATGTGTATATTATGAAAAATTATACCTGGGTTTCAATTCTTTGCACCAAAATCAATGTACCTTTTAATTTATTTTTGAAATACCCTCCAGTATTCTACATATAACATAGAATATAATGTAGGTATTTCTGTCTCTATTTCTCCCTCCTTCCCTTCCTCTCTCTTCCCTTCATTCTCCCCAATTATAAGCTGACTGGACATCAGACTCCTTTCCTCAGACAGCACACAAAGGAATGTAAGAAAGCTCAGCTCTCCTTTCTATTCAGACATGGTTGATGCCAAACCAAAGATGTCCCAAAGTTTGGAACCTGCCAGGGTAGAGGGTTCCAATCCTGGTCCCATCAACCTGAGATGAAAGTCTATCCACAAACACCTTGTAGGTCCTAGAAGATAAAAGCTGAACAAGGCAGTCCAGTGCCCAGGAAAGAGCCCAAGGCTCTCTATCTAGAGCCCAGAAGTTAAATTCTGGTTCTCTTACAACGCCAGCATGCTCCAGTACCTGGCCATGATGGAAAGGATAGAAAGTAAATGTCCTGGTTTGGGTCAGGTGATTTATAACTTGTCTGGTTCTGCTATAGAGTGCTGATTCATTACACTCACTGTACAGATAAGGCAGACTGAGGCCAAGAGATGTTAGTGTGGAAGGAAGTCAGTGGAGCGGAACTGAAACCCATAACAACTCACTTGCGGGGGCAGTGTGACAAACACTCCTGGCCTCTCTTCTTTCATCTTTAAACGAAGGGTCACCCAGACAGTGACCACTGAATCCTTCAGCCTCAGAGACGGAGCAGCTCCAACCGGTGTGAAGGATCAGCAGGTAGATGTCAACAGAGTTGAACACTGAAAGAGGCACACATTTTGCTTAAAAATGAACGCTAAATAATGAGCAGGTTCCTAATATAGCTCTGAATGCAGTGCTAACGATCTGGGTTGTGTGAGAAAAATTTGGTCATGAAGCTGAGCTTGAAAAGACAAGCACAGAAGACAGCATCTTGTCAGTGGGCGCTGCGCCAGGCAGTCAGTTTGTGGAATTGAGAGTTGATGTTCGATGTGGATGCCATTGGCCAAAACTCCACAGCTATGTTGGGTAGATACCAGTATTCCCATTCTATTTCCATTCTAACATTAGTTAATGGGGCTTTGGCCTGAGTTCATATCATGTGAAAGTGATGGGGCCAGGACTATAAGTTACTACTTCTCATGGGTTTCCATGGAATGCTCATCTTCTTCAGGCCTTTGACCAGCAATGGTTGAACTCCAATCTGGCCTCCAGAAGGAGAGAAAATGCGAAGGACTACAAGGCACTTCAAAAAAAAAAAAAAAACTAAACACTTGTGGGGACTTAAACATCGTACATGTTTGATTTCTTTTGTTCCTTCCTGTGTAAGTTAAGTCCAGAAGTGAGCAATCAAGACTCTTGGGCAGCTCTGCTCCTGCAAGTCCTCAGAGACCCCTGCTCCTACTGTCACACTGCTCCCCTTCTTGCACTGGCCTCTAACCTGCAGCCTAGAATAGTCATAGCCACGCTCCAGGCCGCAGGATGGAGGATAAGAACAGGAAGAAGAAACAAAAGGTGTTTAACAACTTCAGGAAGTTTCTGGGAAATTGCAAGTTGATGTTCCACCTGGATTCCACTGACTCAGACTCAGATGTGTCTGGGTCAGTGGACTTAGCTGCAAGGAAATACGTTTGTAGTAGTGACTTTCAGTGACCATGTACTCGGCTAAACCTCAAGGTGTTCCTCTGCCTGACAAGAGAGGGAAAGTGGATGTGGGGACCCACAGCCATGTCTACCAGAGGAGGCAGTGATGGGTCACTCGGAGGCACTGACCCCTCAGTTTCCACCGTATGTTTATGAGTAAGTCCAGCTGGTGGCCTGTGGAGTTGGAGCCAACCCTAATCTTTACTGTACCCCTCAACCGTGCACTTCCCTGGGTCTTCCCTTGTGCCTAAAATGAAAATGGAAGCTGGGTTTGCTTGGAGAACCAGTCGGGCATGAGAAACCCGCTGTCTTTGTTTTCCAGAGAAATAGAAAGTTCTCAGTCTCAGCAGGCTCCCTAATTTTACTTCACTTCTCACATCAGATAAGCATATTCTTGTCAATGGGACCTGCTGGGAACTCTTTCAGGCCATGATTTCCTCTGAATGTGAATATCTTATGGCAATTGCACTTGGAGGCTCATTCAGCTACTCTGTCCATGGAAAGGCACTAAGTCAGGGCATAGACACAGACCTGAGCCAGGTACCTCCAGGGATGTGAGCTGGCAGAGAGAGAAATGAACTCAACTCCAAATACACAAGGTATGGGGATTTGCAAGCAAGGTGGGGTGGGTGCATGTCAGTGGGGGATATTCACTGACAGGAAATCTCAGCTAGAGTTTTGTCTAGGAGGGGATCTCTGTCCAGAGAAACCTGCAAAGGAAGTGGTCAGAGATAGATGCCAAGCGGATGGTGCTGGGCCTTGGTGTCCACACAGGGGTCTAGACAGTAGGTTGTGGGTCAGTAGGTGATATGGACAGGCAGTTTCAGAACCACATTTAAAATTGCATCTTCAGATTCTTCACTGTTAGTACAGATAGACTGGGAGATGAAGATATGAAAAAGAGCATTACCTAAAGAAGGGCAATGCATACACAAAGAAGCAAAGAAGCAGTCAGATGCTGCTGTTTTACTTAAGTGCCACAGAGAATGAGACAGAAAGCAAGTGTTTCAGCAACTCAGTGAGACTCAGGTGGCCTCCAGTGTGGCCTCCAGGAGAGGTCAGAGGGAAGCTTCCCCAGAAGGCAGGAAAGTAGAATCTCGCAGGCTACTGAGCCTCTGGGAAGCAATGGGAAGGTGGGAGAAGGTGAAGACTCCAGGCAGAATGACACAGGCTCACCCAGAAGGGGCATGGAGTCTGTGTGGAGAGCTCAAGAGAGTCTCAGGCTGGAATGCTGGCCTTGGGCAAGGAGACCCCATAGGTCTCAGAGAGATGTTGGTAATGGCCACACTCAATGAGGCCAATTTCCTGAAATGAAACTATATTGAACCCTGAATTACACACTGGAGGTGCTTTCCTGGATGACAAGGGCCAGAACGGATCCCCAATAATTCTGTACTCATTTGCTCCTCCCAGGCCAGCTGGGCTGAAATGGGTGACCTTATTAACTTCACTCAGTTCACAAGAGAGTACACATTACTGCTCTCAACAGCTGGAAAAATGTGTGGGTTTCTCTGCCAGGGATCTCAATGGAGAAGTAATTGTGCAGGATCAGGAAGGTATCACTGGTGAGCCAGGGTAGTTGGAGCTGCCCCTTCCACCAGCAGGGTGGGCTGAGACAGGGCAGATGCACACCGGATTCTGCTCCTCCAGTGGGTAACACTTCCCTTATCCACTGGTCTGCAGCAAATTCCAAAGAACTGTTTCCACTGAACCAAACTTTCATTAACTTATACATTACACCCTACAAAAGCCTCAGGCATGCTGACACAACTCACAGCTACTTATTTCATAGTTCGCTGTGGTGAGGGAATTCAGGATAAAAGGACAAAAGGTTCAGAAAATAATTAAGCCACAACATGATCAGAAACACCCCTCATACCATGGTGCCCCACAATACCTGGACGCAGTTCAGAAAAGTGTCTTAAATTTCTTAACAGCCAAAGGAAGACGGGAAATATAGTGTCTTACAGAAATGAGGTTTTCCACTAAATCAAAAGTACCCAGCTTCTGTTCCCTCAGGACCAGAAAGTTCTCACCTAAGCACCAACAAAGAGAAGGTGGTAAGAACATGCGCTGCATTTAATAGTCCTCAATACAGACCGAGAGCACAAAATGACAACACAGCTTAGGAAAAGGAAGCCTATGAGGAACAAAACAATCCACGGGCCACATGAGCAGTTCTGTGGTCATTCTGCAGCATCTGAAGGTACCATTCAAAATGTAAGTTCCTGAGTGGGCTGCCTGGCCTCCAGCAATCTAGGGGCCAAATGAGGGATCTGAGAGTTGAGAAACCACAATGGAACAGTATTTAATCAACAAACACCTTCCAGAAGCTCCATTGCTCCGTTGCTCCTTTGTGGGACTAGAGCCTGGAGCCAGGGATTGCAGAATGAGAACATATGAGTCCTGCTCTCAACAGGCTGATTGCCTCTTCAAGGAGAGAGATGTGTAGAAAGATGACTGTAACTACATCACACTGGGTCTTAATGGGGTGGGGGGAGCACATGTCACCATGAGATGCTGGGGAGTCAGGACATCTAGAGCAACTGGGGGCAGATCGGGGGACCTTCCAGCAACCTCTCAGTGAGAATTTTCACCTGCTGTAGCAAGAGCAAACCTTCTTGCCTCCATAGCCACAATGGCTATTTAGTGTGAGTTTCAGTTGATTTTCTTTCCTCCTTTGCCATGGCGCCTGTTTTGTAAGATCAACAGGTAGAAATGGAAACATGGAACTGTTCACAACAGTTTTGAAAGATTACGGTCAAGAAAAATTCATGGAAACAGACACAGGATTTCTGGAGAAAAACAAGAGCCCAGTCTTGTCAATGTTTTGAGCTGCCTCTGTGATGGAAATAACATCTGGTTCCTTTTTATTGGCAGGCCAGTACCAGACTATTAAAAAGCCTCCCCGGGATGACGTAAGTCACTGTTTCCCTTACCTATTCTGCTAGTCTTTGCTGCTTACAAAGTAAGTGGCTTTTCTCAAAATATGCAGTAAATTAAAATTAAAAAAATACTTTCCCAAATAAAGTACTTCATTGGCAGGGAAAACCGCATTTCAATTCTTGAGTACAAAATTGTGTTCCGATTTCCCAACGATAAAATGGAGATAAAAATTAATTCACATGGCCATCATGGAGGTAGAATAAGATGAAAAAGCCAGCACACCATGCTGACAAGTGTGTTAGGAGAAATGCAGTTCAATGATCTACTTCAGTTTACTTTGTCAGAAATCCACAGTAAAATTTTAAATGGAAGCAAACTTTCTGGAAGGTAATTTCACAGTATTAAACAATATAAAAATATCCATCTTCTTTTTGGCTCATGCTTGGGAATTTAAACTAATGAAATCGACTAAAATTCAGATTCATATTAAAAGATATTCACTGACATTTTATAATAATATGTTTGAATATGTTAAGACATATCCATTTTATGGAGCCATTTGCAATATTTACAATGAATTTTAACAATTAAAGGAAAATATTTAAATGCATGAAGTTGTTTTCCTTAAACAAAATTAAAAGAGAAAAAAGAAAAAAATTCATAACATTAACTCAAATATCTAGTATTACAAGAAATTTTATTGCTAAGTTATATATGAGATCATCAAAAAGTTCATTTAAAATGTTTTATGAAAAACTTATGCATGTGGCCGGTGCCGCGGCTCACTAGGCTAATCCCCTGCCTTGTGGCGCCGGCACACTGGGTTCTAGTCCCGGTCGAGGCGCCGGATTCTGTCCCGGTTGCACCTCTTCTCTGCTGTGGCCAGGGAGTGCAGTGGAGGATGGCCCAAGTGCTTGGGCCCTGCACCCCATGGGAGACCAGGATAAGTACCTGGCTCCTGCTATCAGATCAGCGCGGTGCGCCGGCCGCAGTGCGCCAGCCGCGGCGGCCATTGGAGGGTGAACCAACGGCAAAAGGAAGACTTTCTCTCTCTCTCTCTCACTGTCCACTCTGCCTGTAAAAAAATAAATAAATAAATAATTTGAAAAAAAAGAAAAAAAAGAAATAAACTGGATTTTGCATAGTCTTGATCATGCCTCCTGACACCTTGCTGAATCATTCTTTCTAAATTATAATGATTTTTAATGGATTCTTTTGGATTTTCTGCATTCAATATCATCTCATCTGCAAACAGAGTCCCTTTCTACATTTAAAGCTTGGACCCAGCCATGTAGTTGAGAATAATCTGTCAATTTTGAAGTCAGGTGACTAGTAACCTTAATTACACCTGCAGTGTTCCTTCACTGTTTAAGGCTTGATTAAATAATCAGCAATAGGAATATTTAGGGAGCAAGTTTATAATTCCACCTAGCATAAGAATTAAACTCGTGTTTGACTCCCAGCTCCAGACTCTTAGATATTTTTTTGGGCCGGCGCCGTGGCTCACTTGGATAATCCTCCACCTGCAGCACCAGCATCCCATATGGACGCTGGGTTCTAGTCCCAGTTGCTCCTCTTCCAGTCCCGTTCTCTGTTGTGGCCCAAGAGGGCAGTGGAGGATGTCCCAAGTGCTTGGGCCCCTGCACCCGCATGGGAGACCAGCAGGAAGCACCTGGCTCCTGGTTTCGGATTGGTGCAGCGCCAGCCGTAGTGGCCATTTGTGGAGTGAACCAATGGAAGGAAAACCTTTCTCCCTGTCTCTCTCTCTCACTGTCTATAACTCTGTCAAATAAAAAAAATTTTTTTAAAGTTTATTTTTCAGGCTGGCGCCGCAGCTCACTAGGCTAATCCTCTGCCTGCGGCGCTGGCACCCCCGGTTCTAGTCCCGGTTGGGGCGCTGGGTTGCTGCTCTTCCAGTCCAGCTCTCTGCTGTAGCCCGGGAAGGCAGTGGAGGATGGCCCAAGTGCTTGGGCCCCTGCACCCGCATGGGAGACTAGGAGGAAGCACCTGGCTCCTGGCTTCGGATCGGCGTGGCACCATGGTCGCAGCACGCGAGCTGTAGTGGCCATTTGGGGGGTGAACCATCGTAAGGAAGACCTTTCTCTCTCTCTCTCTCTCTCTCTCACTATCTAACTCTTCCTGTCAAAAAAAAGTTTATTTTTTAAAATATTTATGTATTTCATTTGAAAGGCATAGTTGCAGGGAGAAAGAGAGAGGGGAGAGAGAGAGAGAGAGAGAGAGAGAGAGAGAGAGAGAGAGAGAGACTGACATTGAGAGAGAAAGATCTTTTATCCAATGGTTCACTCCCCAAATAGCCACAGTGGCCAGGGCTGGGCCAGTCCAAAGCCAGGAGCCAGGAGCTTCTTCCAGGTCTCTCACATGGGTGCAGGGGCCCAAGCACTTGGGCCATCTTCTGCTGCTTTTCCAGGCCATAGCAGAGAGCTGGACCAGAAGTGGAACTGCCAGGACTAGAATCTGCACCCATATGGAATGCCAGTGTCACAGCTGGAGCTTAACACTGCTCTACTACTGGCCCCAGACACTTAAATCTTTAACTTGAAGCTAAAAAAAAATAAAATAAAATAAGAACTTGATGGTGTCTTCCTAGCTAGCACTGTAGCCTGCACCATGCGTCAGCATTCTGCATTCCTTTGACTCACTCAAATGTCCTGACCACTTAGGAAAAAGGCTTTGCTGCAGCCCTGGATGGAGCAAAAGGCCACAGAGATAACGCCTATGAAGATCCCGAGTGTCAGATGGCAGACACATGGCCACTGGTGAAATTTTTACCAGCCAGGCCCATAAAGGAATCTGAATATGCAGGTACCACTTGGGGGTCTTCCTAAAGTCTGAAGACAGATATCCATGCTGTGATGATGCATAGTAATTACAGGTGCAGATTCTGACCAACCATAGTGATTACGTGTGCAGATTTTATCCAACCCTGGGTTAAAATCCCACCTCCATGGCTTACCAGCTGCATGACCTTCTCTAAAACTCCTTTTATCTGAAAACAGGGTTCATAATAGGACGTATCACAGAGAGTTTCCTGCAGGTTATATAAACAATACTTGTGGAGTTCTCAGCACAGAGCCAGACCCCTGTGGTTGCTAGCCCTCACTGATCCAGTGTCCTTCTTGAGTAAGAACAGCTTTTGGCCGTGGCAGAGAGTGGCCAGGCAGGCATGTGGGCAACATGGGAAATATTAGCATGGAGCTTGCACTGAAGGGAGTAGAATGAAAGGCAGACTTTTTAATGTGGTTGATCATTTTGCAGATTGTCCTAGGGCATGGCAGCAAAGCCACCTTTGGTAAGAGTAGGAAAGACCTAATTTCACATCCACCGTGGCCTCTTTCAAATTGAGGTACATATTTGGCTCAGCAAGCTCTCTGAACCATACCACAGCACACCACTGCAAGGGGAAAGAGGAAGCAGTCATGATTTCTGAAGGCCAGGCCTGCTGAAATGAATCTACAGAATATTTTTTGGAGAGAATCATCTCACAAACAAAGACAATAATCTTTTCATGCGTTCAACAAGCATTTACTAAATATCTGTGCTGTGCTGGGATTAATGAAGGGACACAAAGGCAAAGCATAACACATGACCTTCAGGAAGGTCACGATCCAGTGGCAGAAATAGATCAACAGATAAATTTGATAGACTACATCAGGTGTATGCTATAGAAATGAGAACCAAGGGTCAGGTGTGGGTGAGTGGAATCTAGGAAGATTTTTTTGAGGGTGTGGTGTGATGTGGCACAAAACAAAGTAGTTTCTCAGATGACAAAGTGAAAGATGTTCAATACCTTGGCATTTACTGTGTGCACCAAAAGGAACAATTTCTGCTCTTCATGCCAGTTTCCTCATCTGTTAAGAGAAAGCAGGATTTTGGGCCTCATATTTTTGTGAGCATTTGATTTGTCAGTGTGCAAATATTTTGTAAACGTAGTGTGCTAAGTCTACATAAGGTGTGATTTTCATATTTTTCTCTTTGCAAAGATACACGCTATTTTAAGGGTGTGATGGATCCTTCCATTCTGCCAAATGTCAAGACCTCCATCCCCACAGAAGGGCAAGCCTGGAACCCATGGACAAGACTGGAAGAAGTGAGTAAACACTGGACCCTGTGAAGCAAACACATGTAGGGCACATCCTAACCAGCTGGGAGCAGCCCCAACCCTTCTTCCCCAAGGCATCTCCTTGGGTGGTGAGCAAAGCAAGTTCAGTGAGGTGCAGAGGAGCGACTTAAATGACTAACAAGTCTACCTCTCTACAGAATAAACATCTAGAAGGAAGTAGAATTAACACTTGCTGAAAATTTACTGTGAGCCACGCGTCAAGCTAATGACTTACATATAGCTCATCTAATGCTTAGTCTTTGGAGCAGAAATTTCGACTCAAATCTGATAACAATACATTATTTCACCCAGACTCTCAGCCTATCATTCCTAGTTGCTGACTGAATTGTGATAAGTCAATCACGTGACTTCTCTGAGCTTCTTTTTAATTTTATCTACAGAACAAGAATGAGAAGTCCCACCACGCTTACTTCCAAAGCTGTTTATGAAAATATCTGTTAAACATCTCATAACATGTTCTAAACATATATAGGAAGAGATTTTTACTTTTAATAAAATATTTCTTAACTTTCTTAATGTAGAAATACATAAAATATTCATTAATTCCCCCAGGATTTCAGGGTTATTTATCACAACATTTTGATGTATTTTGTGTCAGTATTTTTATGGATTTTGTTTAGCTAAATATTTTAGGTATTATCTTAAGATAATATATTTTTAATTTACAATTATAGACAAAGTCTTAATGTTCCACTAAAGACTTCAACAAATCTATGCAGATATATTTCTTACAGGAGGGCTTTTTTCACATTGAGTTCTAGCTGTAAAACAATTTCCCATGTGACAAACAAGGATTCACAAGTGTAATTTTTATAGATATATCATAACCCACGATCGGATTTTTTATTATTTTACTTAACCATCTAGTGAAAACATTTGGAAGGCTTTGGCACATCCTGTGAAATTTCCTTCCTGAAAATTTATTTCATTTAACCCTCTCAGAAGCTCCCATGGGAATATCCACCTCGTGGACTCTCACTGATTACTTTGTTCATGTTTTTTTAAGAAGATTTTTCTCTGTTAATTTCTTTTTTAGCTTGCACTTCATCCATTAGTTAAGATGAAAATGCTTTCAAATACTCACATTATTTCTTGTGTGTTATCTGGTCACATTGTTTATCAATATCACTTGAATTCTAGTGTTAACACTGGCAATGCCTTAGTGCATTTTATGCTGCTACTAGAGAATACTTGGCATTGAGTACTATATAATGAGCAGAAATTTATCCCGCACAGTGCTAGGGGCTGGGAAGTCCTAGATCAAGGAGTTGGCATCTGGAGAGGGACTTCTTGATGTCTCAGGTGGTAGGGGATGATATCATGTGACCAAAGGGCAAAGAAAGAAGAAAAGGGCCAACCCCACCCCTTTTTTTAACAAACCCACTCCAGTGGGAATGAATTCACTACCACGATGGCAACAATGTGAGCGTGAGGTCCTCATGGCCTAATTACCTCTTTAAAAAAAGGATTTATGGGGCTGACACTGTGGTACAGTAGGTTAAAGCCCTGTCCTGAAGCGCCAACATCCCATATGGGCTCCAGTTCTAGTTCCTGCTTCTCCACTTCTGATCCAGCTCTCCGCTATGGCCTGGGAAAGCAGTAGAAGATGGCCCAAGTGCTTGGGCCCCTGCACCCATGTGGGAGACCTGGAAGATGCTCCTGGCTTTACATCGGTGCAGCTCCGGCTATCTGGAGAGTGAACCAGCGGGTGGAAGACCTCTCTCTCTGTCTCTACCTCTCTCTATAACTCTGTCTTTCAAATAAATAATTTATTTGATTTATTAATTTGAGAGGGAGGGTTATTTTATTGATTGATTTATTTAAGAGGGAGATTTATTTATTTATTTGAGAGGGAGGGTTACAGAGAGAGAGAGAGGGAGAGACAGAGAGAGGTCTTCCACCCACAGGTTCATTCCCTGAATGGCCACAATGGCCTGAGCTAGGGCAATCCGAAGCCAGGAGCCAAGAGCCAGAAGCCAGAAGGTTCTTCTGGATCTCCCACATGGGTACAGAGGCCCAAGCACTTGGGTCATCTTCCACTGCAGAGAGCTGGGTTGGAAGTGGAGCAGCTGGGACAGAAACTGGCATCTATATGGGATGCCGGTGCCACAGGCAAAGGATTAACCTACTATGCCATGGCACTAGCCCCACCTAATTACCTCTTTTTTTTTTCTTTTTTAAGATGTATTTATTTACTTGAAACTCAGAGTTACACAGAAAGAGAAGGAGAGGCAGAGAGAGAAAGGTCTTCCATCTGCTGGTTTACTCCCCAATTAGCTGCAAAGGCCGGAGCTGTGCCGATCTGAAGCCAGGAGCTTCTTCTGGGTCTTCCATACAGATGCATGGGCCCATCTTCCATTGCCTTCCCAGGCCATAGCAGAGAAGTGGATTGGAAGTGGAGTAGCCGGGACTCAAACCGGCGTCCATATGGGATACCCACACTGCAGGCAGCGGCTTTACCTGTTATGCCACAGCACCAGCTCCACCTAATTACCTCTTAACATCACCACCTCTTGAGGCAGACATCTGATCTAAGAAGCCCACGTCCCACGGGCAGTGTGTAGGTTTGACTCCCAGCTCTGGCTCTGACTCTAGCTTCCTGTAAGTGAAGACTGTGCGAGGCGGTGGTGATGGCTCAAGTAATTGGGTTCCTGCCACCCACCAGGGATACCTGGATTGAACTTCTTTTTTTTATTTTTATTTTATTTTATTTTATTTTATTTTTATTTTATTTTTTTGACAGGCAGAGTTAGACAGTGAGAGAGAGAGAGACAGAGAGAAAGGTCTTCCTTTTCCATTGCTTCACCCCCCAAATGGCCGCTATGGCCGGCGCACTGAGGCCGTGTTGCTGTGCTGATCCGAAGCCAGGAGCCAGGTGCTTCCTCCTGGTCTCCCATGAGGGTGCAAGACCTGGGCCATCCTCCACTGCACTCCCAGGCCACAGCAGAGAGCTGGACTGGAAGAGGAGCAACTGGAACAGAATCCAGCGCCCAACCAGGACTAGAACCTCAGGTGCCAGTGGAGGATTAGCCTGAGCTAATTAGCCACAGCACCGGCCTTGGATTGAACTTCTGGCTCACAATTTCAGCCTAGCCCAAGTAGTATATGACAGAACCACTGGATGACAGCTCTGTCTCTCTCTGTCTCTCTACCTCTCAAAACAAATAATTCAAAGTTCTCACCCCTTAGTATTGTTAAAACGCCTGTTAGATTTCAACACAACTTTGCAGACAACAAACATTCAAACTCTAGGAGACAAAAAAAGTACAAACTGTATGCCAAGCAATGTCATTTACACAGAATGTATCTCATAGAGATCGAGAGAACAAGTTGCAGGATGAAATGTTGAAGTTCCTTTATACCCAGGCACTGGGCTAAACACTTCAATCATCCACCCACCAAATTCAATCAAGGAGTGCATCTCCAGGATCTGCCAGCATCAGACACTGTACAGACTCTGGGGACATCTCAGTGAGCAGAAATTCCCTGCTCTCATGAAACTTACATCCCAGTGGAAGGAGACCAACAACACGTATATATGAAAATAAATAGCAGATAGGTAATAGGGCAAGTGATATGTAATTAAAGCAGGGTAAGGCAGACCAGGGGAAGCATTTCCTAGCACCAATCAGACTGAGTGAATGGCACTTCAGCCTTAATAGAACCTTGCACGGTGAACATCAGCCCCATTTTACCAGATTCCAATTTATGAGCTCTGTGCCTTTGGGCCAGTGACCCACGCTCTCTGGGCTTTCACTATCCTCTCCATCAAATGTCATCACTGACACAGGAATACATGGACAGCACAAGGCCGTAAGTCAGGGGCGTCTCTGAGATGAGAGGGACTATGTTAGCTCCAGCTGCCACAGCTCCTTTACACAGGAGAATTTCAACAGAAGTCAGTGAAACGGATGAACAAACTTCCAATCATTTGAACTCAATCCCAGAAAACAAATGGTTGTTAATGGAAGAAGAGCCAGTCTTGCTTCTGTTCCTACAGAACCTTGTTTTCAGCCCAGCCTTCAAAGTTCTCCTACTCACTAACAGTGTTTGCTACGTCACCAAACTGCAGACGGGGCAATACAATGGGGCGCAGCTTGTCAGGGAGGGCACATCTCCAGACACTTGGCACAGTGAATAAAATGTGCTCAGGGAACACAGGATTTCACAGTGAGTGGACTAGGCGCAGATCTGGTTGCAGAGGAGTACAAACGAATGATCAGCTAACAAGCTGACTCTTCCTTGCCCTAGAGAGCACTGGTCACCCCCTTTTACATGTAGGGAGTGTCCAGAATGAAAATTTTTCAGAGAAAATAATCCTTATTTGATTTAAAATGGAAAAATAACTATGCCAGAATTTAAGCCTCTTTCTTGTTATTTTATATTCCTTCACATGTGTTGAGCATGCCTAGTCCAAAAATCTAAAATCTGAAAATACTCTGCTATCCAAAACTTTTTGAGAACCCACATAACACTCAATGTTTCAGATTCTGGATTTGGGATTTTTAGATTAGGGACGTTCAACCATGAAGTCTACACAAACATTCCAAAATTTGGAAAAGCTCCAAAATCATAGGCTCTTTCGAGTCCAAGCATTTCATATAAGGGACACTTGACCTCTTGTAGTTTTGCAGCTTAAAACAATTTTTTTTAAAAAATTCTCCCTTTAGCTAGATCACTTTGCAAGTGGAAATCACAGACAAAGAGGACAGGAGAGGCCAAGAGAGAAATCGTCTTATAAACTAAGCACAGACTTGGCCTCTATTCAGATAAAAAGGGGAGTTTTGCTTTGTAGTCAGTGTTTTTAAAAAAATCACATTTTTATGGCAGGTGTATTATACTTTTCCCTCTGGGAGTTGGTCATTATTGTTTCTACACAATTATGTTGAGATTAAACTGTCTGTGAAATGGACAGAGGCTAGTTCTTATCTAAACTCCTTAGGTTGGCTACTATCTTACCCTAAAACACTGGTCCTCCTTCTATTTGCCTCCTGCACACCAAGCCCCGTGGAGGTATGAACATGAGGCAGTGCCCACAGTTTAATGGAGGAAGCAGAAACCCAAACAGGCGGTGCTGAGGGAACACAAAGTGCTAGGGCGGAGGTGAACCAAGATGAAGGGAGCTCACAGAGCTTCCTGGCTGAGCCCAGCCTGCAGCTTTCTGGAAGCAAGGCAACGCTGTCTTTCACACCAGTAACATGTCACACTGTAATCAGTGGCTCTCAGCACGCGGGTTGGATTGTTTTTAATTGACACATCAACATGTGTACATATTATGGGGAGAATTTGGCTCTGATGGATGGAGACCTTAGGCAAAGTCTGCAGACGTGTGACTGACAGGACTAGAGGAGTGCTGCTGACATCTTTTTAGGTGAAAGATAGAAATACTAAGCATCATACGGGACACACACAGGAAAGGCCCCCACAGCAAAGATTTATCCAGGCCTGAAGCTCAATTTGTAACGCCCTGATTCAGAACTGTGGTATAATGCACCTATATCATGCATATCTGAGGCCTCCTTGAGGACCCAAGCTCTCTCACAGTCCGCATTGCTGCAGGTATGTAGGAGGTACTAATAAATACTTATGTGACAGAAAACAGTAATACCCCCAGGGGAAAGGCAGGAAACACCCCTAGGCCTGGGTCCCACTACTACCAGAGGGTGCCAAGTATTGGAGGAGACTCCCTACCCACAAAAGGCACAAAGCAGAATTTGGTGGGTGCCTACTATTGGGAGAGACACCAAAAGACCCCCTATCCACAAAAGACACAAAGCAGAATGTGGCTGACAAAGAGAAAAAGAGCAGGGGCACCAAGGAAGTCCTGTCCAAAGAGGCTAAGCTTGCAGGCACATCTGAGATGGAGACCACAGAAAACCCCTCCTGCCCCCACTGACCAAGCAAGCAACAGAGAGAGGTGCAAGAGCAGTGAGAGACAGCCACTGTGGGGGGAAGGTGGACAGAGAAGAATGACAGCTGTGGGTGTACTGGGAATGTGGAGAGAAACCCTACAGCACTCCCAAGAGTAACCCTGGAGGAATTAGAGATTGAGGATGCAATGAAGGAAAGTACAGCCACAATAAAATCAAGCCCTAATACTCCATCTTGGCTCTATTGAGCAGGAGACAATCACTATGCCCTTCCCAAGCAGACACAATACTGTGGTTCGAAGGCCCACAGAGGGTAAGAGGCAGTATTGGCCTACTTCCATCTATGGCCAACCCAACTTAGTGCCATTAAATAGTGATGCAAAGACCCCCAAAACTGACTTAAAGGCTTTCAAAGACATGGAGCATCTGATGGCATCTTCATCAGCTTTTCTGCCCTTAGATCTTCCAATGCGCAGCAGAGTTCACTCTTTTGAGCAATGGCACCGAGAACTCCCCAGCATGAGTAGTGACACCTAGTGTTCTGGGCAATTGGCAGGTGTGTCTGTGATCCTCCCCTCCTCATGTGGAATCCGTACTTTTGTCACACCCATTTCAAAGACGAGGAAACTGAGGGAGAAGGCTGTGTGACCTCACAACCAGGCCACAGTGCAGATGGAATCCCAACCCAGACTTTCGTGGGGAGCCAGACTCTGACCTGCCTGCTTGGTCACTTTCAAGTACCTGCTCAGGTACAAGGAACTACAAAACATGTGTGGGAAATAGAAGTAAAAGATAAGTGTATTTTGGTACCAAAAATATGAAATCTATACATTTGAGGGGGCTTCAAAATAATCCATGGCAAATGCATACTGTGAAAAGAGTATACATGAATTTCCATTTTTTGCACCAAAATAAACATCTGTTAATTCCATTTTCCATGAACTTTTTGAAGTACCCTATTATTCTGATCTTCATAAGAGTCTAATGAGGTAAACTGACTGTGTAAGCTCCCTATTTATAAAGGTGAAAAATCTGATGCTGTTAGGATGCCCTTCCCTAAGGCCCACAGCAACGTGAGGCAGAATCGTATCTTACATCCAGGTGTTTGGGGATGAATGCCAGCTGGGCCTCTGCACCCTTCCTGGCAGTGGTGCCTGCATGAATTTAAATGCATTTACTGATGACCAACCATGCAGCATGGTCCTGTCTAAGAAGGCTGAGTCCAGGGACTCGGGTCTTTATCCTTGAGAATTTAACCACCCAGAATAGCTGGTCACAAGATGGGGTCGTGGTCATCATTTAAGAGCTAACAATGCCACATCGTCTTTTACAGGTGGACAACCCTGTTTCTAAGGACATCAGAAGCCAACATGTCAAAGGTAAAGCTTCATCACAAAAAGTTGAATGCTAAGTATGAGAATATTCACACCATAATGAGATTGCCTTATGAATTTTTTTGTGGTCCTGAATCACCTTATATAAGGGGGTCTTCTAAACTACCCCTCAGGAAATAGCTGTCTACTTTCAGAAAGAATCACACACCTATGTCTTTCTATGCCTTACCTATTGACAAATAAATTGATTGTGAAGAATCAAGGAATTCTCTTAAAACACATGGATTTCACTGAATATATATAACGATGCCATTTCCATAAATACACCCATAGAAAAGTCACAATAGGAATCTAACTTTTTAAAGTTGAATAATTAATATGACAACAAATTTCAACACTTGGGCAAAACAACCCAACTTGAAGATGAAAATACAGGTATGAGCCTGAAAGCTAATAATCAGTTTGACTAGCACTAGAAGCACAAGTGGAGGAGAGTAATGAAATTGAATCATGTCTGTTACATCCTCTCTCATCATTTCTCCTGGTACCCCCCATTTCTACTTAAAATGTTCAACTGGAAAAGATGAGGATCCTATGATTTACACTTCCCAATAACTGAAATATATCAAATTCATCTTTTATGTGTCTAGTGCTATATTCTGTGTCTCATCAGCACCACATTTTCTTTAATGGGGGAACTATAGCAGCCAGGAACCCATCAGAAAACGGGAGGCACATGCCAATTTGGATAATTTAAGGAAGTTTATTTACAAAGGGGCTATTTCCTGAGATGTGTGGAATGTACATGGCAAGAATAAGGGATGGTCCAGGAACCACAGCTAATGGTAGTGGCATAGTTACCACCCCTGAGCCCAAAGCGAAGAGAGGATAGTTACTGAAAGCCAGGAACACACCATCTTGAGTGACCTTGGCCAAGGGACCTCCCAGGGAGACAGCCAACGGACTAAATACTCAACCTCTCTCTCCAACTGCCCTCTGCCCTCCCAATGGATGGGCCCAACCAGAAAAGAGAAGGCGGGGCAGCCCATGTGTATCCATGCTGGTCACTCTCCCGGGGGGAAGAACAGAGTGGAGCATGGTAAAGGTAGAGGGGGTGATGTTTGGTGCAGCAGCTAAGATGCTGTTTGGGACAACTGCATCCCATCTCAAAGTGCCTTGTTCGAGTCCCAGCTCCTCCACTCACAATTCTAGCTTCCTAATAATGTGCACCCTTGGAGGCAGCAGGGATAGCTAAAGTACTTGAGTCTCTGCCACCCATGTGGAAGACCTGGATGGAATTCCAGGCTCCTGGCTTTGACCTGGCCCAGCCCTGGCTGTTGCAGGCATTTGGTGAGTGAACCAAGGGTTGGAACTACCACTCCCTATCTCCCACTCTCCTCCACTTATCTCTCTTTTTATAATTTATATTAATATAAATAATAACACAGATTTTTATATATTTCACAGATACAATTCTTTTTTATTTTTTTGGCAGGCAGAATTAGTGAGTGAGAGAGAGAGAGAGAGAGAGAGAGAGAAAGGTCTTTCTTTTTCCATTGGTTCACCCCCCAAAACCAGCGCCGCAGGCGGAGGATTAGCCAAGTGAGCCACGGCGCCAGCCTTCACAGATACAATTCTAAGATAACTATACTTTCCTCCCTCCCTCAGCCCCTCAATCTCCTCTCATTCCTTATTTTAATTTAATTTTTGCAATAACTTCATAATTTCACTTTAATTTATAATCACAGGCTTAGCCATAATGTTCAACAAGTAAAAAGCAGAAAGACCATGGTTCCACAGAAGTACAGACAAGAGCTACAAACAACAAACAAATCAGAAGGTGTCAGTTTCATTCTTTTTTTTTTTTTTTTGACAGGTAGAGTTATAGACAGTGAGAGAGAGAAACAGGGAGAAAGGTTTTCCTTCCATTGGTTCACTCCCCAAAATGCTGCTACACCGGCGTACTGCACTGATCTGAAGCCAGGAGCCAGGTGCTTCCTGCTGGTCTCCCATGCGGGTGCAGGGGCCCAAGCACTTGGGCCATCCTCCACTGCCCTCCCAGGCCACAGCAGAGGGCTGGCCTGGAAGAGGGGCAACCAGGACCAGAACCTGGAACCCATATGGGATGCCGGCACTGCAGGCAGAGGATTAACCAAGTGAGCCATGGCACCAGCCCCCAGTTTCATTCTTAAACATCACTTCTGGCCGGTGCCGCGGCTCACTAGGCTAATCCTCCACCTAGCGGCGCCGGCACACCGGGTTCTAGTCCCGGTCAGGGCGCCGGATTCTGTCCCGTTTGCCCCTCTTCCAGGCCAGCTCTCTGCTATGGCCCAGGAGTGCAATGGAGGATGGCCCAAGTGCTTGGGCCCTGCACCCTATGGAAGACCAGGAGAAGCACCTGGCTCCTGCCTTCGGAACAGCGCGATGCACCGGCCGCAGCGTGCTGACCGCGGCGGCCATTGGAGGGTGAACCAACGGCAAAAGGAAGACCTTTCTCTCTGTCTCTCTCTCTCTCACTGTCCAATCTGCCTGTAAAAAAAAAATCGCTTCTTTTATATTCTGTATGAACTACCACATATAGAGAAAACATATGATATTTGTCTTTTGGTGGATGGCTTATTTCACTAAGCATAATGTCTCTCATTCTAATAAGTAAAAAGAAATCAATTAAAATTTTCAAAAATAAGAAAGTGGAGGGGGCCCCTGGCAGTGCACACAGGAGACAGGGTGGACGGAGCAAAGACAGTAGTTGCACCTGGGTCCTGCCATGCCCCAGCTGCATGACCCGATGGGGGCACCCATCCTACTGAGTCCTCTAGCGAAGGAGAGCAGAGTACGCACTGCAGTTGCATCAGTGGAAAGAGGGTGGAGCCTGCAGTCTGGAGCGAGAGCGGGTCCCTACCCCTTGCTCTTGCGTATCCTGTGCAGTCTCACAGACTCCTGCCTGTCTTCCTTCCATCACATTCCTGAAGCCCCAAACCTGCAGCAGCTCTCCTACCAGCTCCCCTGCAGCCCTTACAAATGGTGATACTTTCACCATACCCAGCACTTGATTTAGAGCTCTCCTCCTTAGCTGGTGCTTCGTCATTCTTAGAAACTCCTGGTCCATGATATAGAACAAGTTCTTTCCCCAGAAGCACAGAGGGACCACGGATCAGAGCACGGTCACTTGGTGTTCAAACCTCCCAGGGTCACAAATGCCCTAGGTGTGCTTCATAGACATTCCCTGAGACATGGGTCCAGGAGAGAAACCAGCACAGGAGTGGGCTTCCAGGCACTCTCTTGGCTGGAGCTCACCACGGACCTCATTTATTTGGCTAGAGCAGCTTCTTCAGACACTACTCCACACATCAGCATGTCTGTTTTACCCATCAGTTATGTGTCTATACTTTACCTCTGTCCACAAAGACACCACACAAAGACCTGAACAATTAAAAAATAGAAAAAAAATGAAAATGACAGAAAAATAAAATTTAGGTTCCTTGAGCACACTTTGCTAAATTCTATTGAAATCAAACTGCTAGCTGACTTGGGAGCTTCCTAGTAGTCCAAGCAAAAAGAGACTCAATCTCCCTTAGGTGGTATGTACTTATCGTAACAAAAAAAGCAAACCAGCTCCTCAGGGAAAGCATCAAGAACATCTTTCAGAATTGAGGGAGTGCCGTCTATTCCACAGAGGATGTGGATGGATGTGAGCATGAGGCCTACAACAATCAGCAGGTTTTCCAAAGCTACCCCGGTCCATAACTGAGGCCATCCCTGCAGAGCGGGTCTCAGAGAAGTGGCTCAGGGACACAGAGGCCTGTCAGGAGTGAGCAGGCTGGAGGAAGACTTGCCCCGTAAGAGCTGTTTTCTTTCCTGCTTCCTGTCCCCCAGGCTGTAATTGCTGTTTTTCCATTACCAGCCAGGGCACTAAGGCCCACAGCAGAGAAGAAAACTGAAAGGGGGGAAAGTTACATGAATGCTCCCATTTTTAGGATCCAGGCATCTTGCTGGAAAGTGCTTGGATGATTTATGTGTTTATTACCAAATTCTGTATTTTTGATGCAAACACATTCTCAGATAATTTATTCAATCTCACAAAATGTCATAGGAAAAAAACATATTGGTTGGTTCAGTAACAGCAGAATTTTATGGTGATATTTTTCATCAAGCTGAGCAATTATAGATTTATGTTAATGTGCATTTCATGTCATTTTCCTTGCAATCATCTTCTGACATTATCTGTAAACCATCAGATTTCAAGAGCTTATCTTCCCTGAAGCTTGGCGGTTTTTGCCCAAGAAATGGGCAAAAGTTTATTCGGAGGCAGAGTATTTCCAGTGCAAGTTACTGACGATGAAGCGCTAGCATTACGTGCAGATCTGAAGACATCATTTCATTTTCAGGCCCAGGTGGCTCTGACTCCCAAACCTGCTCTTTGTCCTTCCTGGAGAAAGCAGGGCGGACACTAATGGGGGCTAACAGGCATTTCTGCTCTCCCTAGATGTGACCAAGCACAAACTCCATGCCGGTTTTCTTTGAAACACCAAGCAGAAGTGTAAATCTAGAAACTCGAGTCTGATTGAAAAGAAACAAAGATTTCCACACAATGCCATCAAAAGACCTTAACACTAGCTTGCACTCTTGGATACTGAGGAATGTAGAGTCAAGGATGAGTTTGCAGTTAACCTCAGTCAACTCCCTCCTGTCCTGGGAGGCTCAGTCTCGGAAGACACCTTCCCAGGGTCATCCACGAATGATCAGTATCGAGACCAGAGCCAGTTCATTCCATTTCAGTAATGTTCCCGGGGTTTTACTGTATTTCCTAGTGTATAAAATTCATTCTGCAAACACCTCCTCTTGCTCTCTGATATCCCACTCACCCAAGCTATACAGTTTGGGGCAAAAGATGTGAATTGGTAGGTGGGACTGCCCTCTAGTGGCAGAAAACGCCAAGACATCACTTCGCAGTAAGGATGGAATTTGAAATCCTATCTTTAACAAAATAACATACTTTAGCTTATGGATGATCAGGAATAAATTTAAGATTATCCTCTATGATC